AAACATCGGAAACACCGGAAACACCAGAAACATCAGAAATACCAGAAACATCGGAAACACCAGAAACATCGGAAACATCGGAAATATCAGAAACATCGGAAACACCAGAAACATCGGAAACACCGGAAACATCTGAAACACCAGAAACATCAGAAACACCGGAAACATCGGAAACACCAGAAACACCAGAAACATCAGAAATACCAGAAACATCGGAAACACCAGAAACATCGGAAACATCGGAAACATCGGAAACATCGGAAACATCGGAGATATCAGAAAGATCGGAAACACCAGAAACATCGGAAACACTGGAAACATCTGAAACACCGGAAACACGGGAAACACCAGAAACATCGGAAACACCGGAGACATCGGAAACACCAGAAACATCAGAAACACCGGAAACATCGGAAACATCAGAAATACCAGAAACATCGGAAACACCAGAAACACCAGAAACATCAGAAACACTGGAAAAACCAGAAACATCGGAAACAACGGAAACCTAGAAACATCGGAAACATCGGAAACATCAGAAACACCGGAAACATCGGAAACATCAGAAACATCAGAAATACCAGAAACATCGGAAACATCAGAAACACCGGAAACATCGGAAACACCAGAAACACCAGAAACATCGGAAACATCAGAAACACCGGAAAAACCAGAAACATCGGAAACAACGGAAACACCAGAAACATCGGAAATACCGGAAACATCGGAAACACTGGAAACACCAGAAACATCGGAAACACCGGAAACATCGGAAACACCGGAAACATCGGAAACATCAGAAATACCAGAAACATCGGAAACACCATAAACACCAGAAACATCAGAAGCACCAGAAACATTGGAAACACCAGAAACATCGGAAACCCCAGAAACATCAGAAACATCGGAAACCCCAGAAACATCAGAAACACCGGAAACACCAGAAACACCAGAAACATCGGAAACCCCAGAAACATCAGAAACACCGGAAACACCAGAAACACCAGAAATACCGGAAAAATCGGAAACACCGGAAACATCGGAAACATCAGAAATACCAGAAACATCGGAAACACCAGAAACACCAGAAACATCGGAAACACCGGAAACATCGGAAACATCAGAAATACCAGAAATACCAGAAACATCGGAAACACCAGAAACACCAGAAACATCGGAAACACCAGAAACATCGGAAACATCAGAAACATCGGAAACACTGGAAACACCAGAAACACCAGAAATACCGGAAACATCGGAAACACCGGAAACATCGGAAACACCAGAAACATTGGAAACACTGCAAATATCAAGAACATCAAAAACACGAGAAATATCAGAAACATTAGAAACATGGTCGGTACATCGGGGGAAATGGCGTGCTTGTGGTGTCCACACAAACACAAGACTAACCCAAACTTAACCCCACGAGGTGAAGTCAGCGGGTTACAGGTGTGTGTGTTTGGGGGGGGTCCTGCCCACACCAACTGTTTCACACAAACACCTGAAGTATCTGAATCATGAATCTCATCGTTCTCCAAAGTGTCTACAAACCCCCCCTTCCCACCCACCACCACCAACAAATAATCACCTCCTCACAGGAAGGCGAGGAGCATAAAAAAACAGCAATCTTGTCTTTAAACGAAAAGGGGAAAATATTTTAAGGGGCAATGAATTTCGTGGAGCTGAATAGGATGTTGGTACATGTTTTACTAAAGGAAATATAATGGCAGACTATTATTAGATCACATTAATCACGAGTGTGCCAAAGGCAGTGACAGCCGTGCTGAAAAGGATTGAAAACGCTGGTAATGGATATAAATTACCCATTGTGTGATAAAAGGATTTTTTCTTCACTAAG